GTTAAGCTTCTAGGTAAGCCCGTACATATATCTAATGACTAGAATGTTTATATAGATCGTTTTTACGTTCATAAATGGTCGTTTGGTTGAGTTTTGTGTTTGACATGCTTGAAAGACTAAGAATCATAAACCTTGAATTTGATGTTAAAACTATGAACTAATAATACCAAAATGATCTATGAATCTTGGAAAACATTTCTATATAGTTTAATTGAAATTTGGTGACTAAAAATGACATTACTGAAAATTGGCCCAAGGTTGAAGATGACACTGTTCAAAACTACGCGCAAAACAGTAGCCTGATACCGTCCGAACGATACCTTGGCACCGCCAGGACGGGTAGGCCATACTGTGGGAATGGTAGTCTAGCTACCGTCTCCACCGCAGAAATCCGTTCTCTCTGGCAGTACGTGATGGCAAACGGTACCCTGTACCGTTCGGGCGGTACCGAGGTACCGTACCATGGTACTGAGGTACCATTAGGGGTACCAATTGTCCAGAGAAAATATCAGAAAAACCAGATTTTTAAATTGTTAAATCCTATTTTTGATACCAATCAATTATAATCAATTTTTATATGTTTTCTGGAAATGAATATGATGTTTCGATAAATTCAAGAATCTTGTTTGATGCATGACGGTAAGCTAGGGTGTTAACACTCGACGCTAGGTCGCTACTTGTTATTTATGATTATGATCCTTGATTGATGATAATGACGATTTAATATTCTGATTTAAGTAATAATAATTATGAAGGATTGAATCATGACAAAAAATGGACATATTGAATATGAAAATGATGTGTATATCTAGAAGAACTCTAAGATATACCCATTTGGAAATTGATGATAATTAAAGATATCTAGAAGAACTCTAAGATATACCTCCTTGACCAATTCATAATTCTGGGTTAATACGTACGTACGGGATCCAGACCGGATATCACCCGCCCGACATTTCACTGTTCGGGTGGTACGTAATCTACATTATTCATAGGGTGGATTATCGATACTTGTATAAGTATTAATTTTGAAATTTTCCTGAATTTTAAAATATATTATTGCCATAAATGTAGGTATTAATTTTGAAATTGGATTTTTAATTTGAAATAAATACTTATACCTTTTGAAAATTAATAAATAAATTCTTGGATACTTATTTTGATTTTATAAGTCTGAAAATCAAATTTCCTAAATTTATAAAATTTTATTTTTCGAAATTATGTATTTATTCGCTTTAGACCCGAATTTAATTTCCAAAATTCAGATATTCCAAAATCAATAATTTCCAAATTTAAATATTTGGAAACAAATTCACTCTGAAAATAGAATTTCTAGGTTTAATAAAATTTTAATTTTGGTATTATGGAATTTATTTTCAAAAGAGTTAAATTAATTTATAATATTCCAAATATACCAAATATCAATATTTTCCAAAAGTAAAGTTTTGGACTCATATAAAATCTGAAAATCAAATTTCCAAATTTTTCTAAAATTAGTTTTGGTACTTTCCATTTGTTATTTGGTAATTCATAAAAACAATTTATAAAATTAGTTTTCGTATAACATAATAATTCCCAAAAATCTGTATTCTCAGAATATTATGATATTATTACCAAATTTCAAATTTAAATAATTTAAAAATTAGTTATGTAATTTTAGAAAATTAGTTTTGGAAATTCTAGGAATTACCAACACAGTTTATTCAATAATTACAAATAAAATATTTAAATTCCACATTAAATTCTGAATAATTTTATAAAATCTTAGCATAATATTCTCCAATTTATAAAATTATAGTTCCTAATTGTAATTGTCTAATTCTATTTAATAAATATTAATGTTGAAATAGACAAAACTAAATCCGAAAATTAGAAAAAAATATTGAAAATTTATTTTAATTTCGAGAGTGCTTAAAATCATAATTTAACATTCTAGAATGACTAAGAAAATATTCAACTTGTATTTATTTTGCAATTAATCGAATTAACTACAAAATCAAATGAAACTTTTAAATAAGTAAATAGATTCCGAAAATTAATTTTAATTTTAAAGAACATTTAAAATAATATTTTAATGTCTCAGATCTATTAAAATTAAATTTTAGAAATTTCAAAATATTTTTCATTGATTAAGCCTATTTAATCAATAAATACCGGAATTAAAATATAACCCAATTTTAACTCAAAAATCATATCTTCAAATTTCATAAAGTCTAGAATCATATTTTGACACTTTCATGAATTTTGGGTAGTTTTCAAAAATTAAATACATATTTAATTTTACTTACCTATTAACAAAAACCCTAATGGTAATCAGATATACAAAACTTATAATTTCATAAGTCGGCTCTGATACCACTGTTGAAAAACCACGCTTGGATATGATAGCGGAAAATAAAAATTTAATGTCCAAACTTTTTTTCCACCCAAGACATCTTATTAAGATTCTAAGTTATAGTAAGAAAATTATACCTTTCCTGTCTAGCAAGCAACAACATGAATGGTTGAAGGGATTTGTCCAAGAGCGAGCCACAAAAGTATATGACTTCCAGTTGAGACACATGAACTATGAAGAGCATTCTAGGGAAAATTAAGCTAGTAATTGTTCCCTAGAATAATTCTAAAATATAAAATATTTGGTGTAAAATATTAAGAGAACAAAAAAATTGTCTCTTAAAATAATGTGAGAGGGCTGAAATTTCCATTGAGAAAAATGGTTGGATGATCTCCTATTTATAATGAGTATAATCTTCATTCCTATTCCGAATGAGAATGTTCGTTTTAGTATTTAGTAAAGAAATTAAATCACATTCCTACTTTACTTAGTCAATTTCAAATACCCATCTAAGGAACCCTCCAATTTATTTTGTCAACTTTAAATATCATATAATTAACACAAAATAAATAATATAAAATTTTAAAATATACATATAAATACATACATACATACATTCATACATACACATACCACTTTTGGGTAGACTCACCCATTTCTTTTTTGGAGCGTTTGCTCCCTCTTGTATGCCTTACTTTCTCTTTAATAAAAACTAGTTTCTTATATATATATATATATATATATATATATATATATATATATATATATATATATATATATATATTAATGTTAGATATATTTTGTTCCTTAAATAATATTCGACAAACTTAATTATCGTATAATTAAAATTTTCAAATATGAAAATAAATTTCTTATGCGCTACATGAATAATAAAATAATAAAATAATAAACAATTTATTATTATATATATTATTAATTATATATGATATTCTTAATTATCACATAATTAAAATGTCCAAACATAAACATTTATTTATATGTATTTTTGTGTATCTAATCATATTGTCACACAATATAATATACACAATATATAAATGTAACTTTACTCCACTTCAATTCAATATTCTACGCTTTTCATACATTCTATGTGTGTGACCTTAATCTAGGTACCTATAAAATTGGCCATAGTATTTATTAGATACTATAAGTGATAAGCGGTATATATTATATCAACACATTATCACCCCCAAATTATAGATATAAAGCTCTTTGAACAATTTCTACAACGACACATCTCATTTGTATAACTTTTATCCCTTTATCACTAATATCTTGATTTAACACAAGGTATGATGTGTGTCGCCTTGTTAAAGTTAAATCGATGGTTTACTAATTCTTTGATTGACTTGTGCGATTCAAATAACATATTTATTTGGGCATGACCATGCACTTCCCAAGTCACATCAATCATTGGGCCCTAAGATATTACACTTCATTTAAAGAAGGGATAAATTTTATCTACGTCATTCACATCTTTACTTAAGTTTCATTTCATACTCAAAGCATAATTGTACACCCACCAATATTTCAGATGACATAAATCATGCTTCAAAGTATCCAACTCAACTTACCAAAGATCGTAATGACTTCAAGTCGAAGGATAGTTATACTAATGGTCGCATGAGAATAATATTAACACTTTAACTTAAAACCATATATTATTCTCATAGCAGGTTAATCCAGCAACATATCCAATATGTTTGCCTATGTATAGATTTAGATAACACTTTATCAATAGCCTTTGAGATGCAGCTATCTCATCTCATACGTATTAGTCTTGATATATTATGATGTTCGTATTGTTATAATATTCGACTATGGATATTTTAGACGTATCCTCTATCTTTGTAACATCCTCATAATCAGAACGTCGTAGTTCTCATTTATGTTACTAGAGCGCCTACTCTATGGATTAAAGCTATGTTTAAATCACACAAGATGACTTAAACAATCTTTAGGACCTATTATTCTGGATATAATATAGATATGAAATCATAAGTTGGCCTCTAGGGCGCACTTATATTCAACATGTGTAATAGTAGAAGATTAGTTGTTGAAGAGTTGCAAAAGAACATTATCAATGCAATTGTGGTTCCCGGAAATCAAGTTGGGAAAACGGTTTACATACCCCGAATGAATTTGGTACCATCTGATACAGGACTACCGCTAAAGTTCTAGAGATGATAATTCTCAATAGTCATATGTTTTGTTATGACTACTAACAAAAGTCAATGTCAAACATTGTCTTTTGTTATACTCTAGGATATTATTTTTAACCAATTCGATATTTACTCATGATTAACTTTATGTTACTGTTTCACGAGTGAAGGCAAAGACGATTAAAAATATTGGTTCTAGATGACAATGAAACCCTTACAACCAAACCAAAAATGTTGTGTACACTGAAGTCTTTTAGAAAATGGAATTAAAACGACTTTCTAGAATACACTTTTAAATCCTCAAAAATAATATATTCTACTTTAACATTGTTATCTATTGATTAAAAATTGTGTTAGAAATATCTTTACTTAATTCCAAAAAATATATTGTATTGAAAAAATTTGGAATAGACAAAATTTATTTGACCCCGTAGCTTCAGGCGCTCTAGTATAATTAAATGGATGAGTATACATGCTTTTCAAAGATGGCTCTAATGGTGACGAGGATCTCCGGAACGATTATTAGCATAGCCTGCAGACCCAAAACGCCGCCTTTTGTGCACGGATCAGCAGACGGGTATCTACCCGACCCGTGTGGGAAACCAGGTTCGCCATTTTCGACCTCCACAACGACGGCGGCCGTGGAGGATTCGCCGGACAGGATCTTGGGATTACCCAAGGATTACGAGGATTACCGGCGGTCGATGTATGGTGGGCTGACCCACAAGGCTCTCCTAGTTGATGCCGTCGGCACTCTAGTTGCTCCCTCTCAGCCCATGGCTCAGGCTGGTTTTATGTCTTTATCTAACATCTTCTTTTTCCCAGCTTTTATGTGTGGTAGAAGCTGCAATAATGTAAATTGCATATTGATTTTGTCTTATTTTGAATCGAATAATGGTAAATTTATGGAGTTTAAAGACCCCCCTGGTTGGTTTTGTTGATTTCTCTTTCCCCTAAAGTTTCAGATATACAGGCAGATTGGTGAGAAGTATGGGGTGGAGTGTTCTGAAGCTGAGATACTGAACAGATACAGAAGGGCTTATGAGCAACCTTGGGGTAGATCTAGGCTCAGGTCACTCTTTTCTTTTCCAACTATCAAACGCATAATTTCACTTTATTAATGAGTGCACAACCCGACATGCACTTTAAATTTGGATGGATAGAGTATACTTGTAGTTTTTTGTGGTAATTAACATTACACAGAGTATTAATCAACATGATCATTTTAGTTGAAATAAGAAGGTGAAAGAAATTAGGATAATCCTAAGGTGCCCCACTATAGTCTATTGGTAAACCCAAGTTTTACCTCACAATAATTGCTCTCATAGGCATCAGTTCACTGACATGCCCATGTATGTAACCTTTATATCCATGTCTGTGAACCTGAAGAAGGCACATATTGTTCGTAAAACCTGAGATCACCCATATTGAGGGCACTCGAGCATTATCCAAAAAATTAAGGATAGAAAACATTTATTGGGGAAGTGATGTACGAAGTGTTTAGAGGATTTTATACCCTCGGCTTTCCTCGCCCTTCCGAAATGACCTGACCATACAATGTCTGGTCATTACCCAGCTTGTATTTATCATCTAAATCACAAAGAGTCATTATTGGAATTGTTCGTTTGGTATGAGCTGAGTGAAATGTGAACATTACTTTATTGATGTGGCATGGGTAGATTATATGACAATGATATGATAAATGATTCTTTTGCTGTTATATAATTTGTAATGGGATCAGCGCCACTCAACTGAGTCATGAATGTGCGTGGTCAAACTGGACTAAAATATTCATTCCATTCGATCAGCTTGTTTAAACAAAATCTTTAGGAATTTGTGTGCCGTTCTTTTCTTTAATAATTTTATGCAAGACTCTTGATAGCCTGATTTAACGGATCACAGGTATGTTAATGATGGGAGGCCATTCTGGCAGCATATAGTGAGTTCGTCTACTGGATGTTCTGACTCTGGGTACTTTGAGGAGTTGTATAACTATTATGCCACTAATGAGGTTCATAAATTTTTATTATTCCCCCTTACCCTTGTTTGCATATAAATAGGTTAGCTCTTCAAATCCCAAAGAAGTGTGCATCCTTATTGATTACTTAATTGCCTTCACAGGCTTGGCATCTCTGTGATCCTAATGCAGAGAGGGTATTCAAGGCTCTCAGAAATGCAGGGGTAAAGTTGGGTGTTGTTTCTAACTTTGACACACGATTGAGACCTTTGTTGAGGGCTCTCAACTGCAATCACTGGTTTGATGCTGTGGCTGTGTCGGCTGAAGTTAGTATATATAACATATTTTACTTTACCACTTCGTGTTTTTTTTTGCCTTCTTCCGTTATTAACGGTTTAACATCATTACATAGTTCCAGTTCGTGACTCTCCATCTTTGATTCATGGGAACAGGTTGAAGCAGAGAAGCCAAATCCAACAATATTTTTAAAAGCTTGTGAATATTTAGGAGTGAATCCAGAGGATGCTGTACATGTAGGAGATGACCGTAGAAATGACGTTTGGGGGGCTAGAGATGCTGGTTGTGATGCTTGGCTTTGGGGCAGCGATGTCCACTCCTTCAAAGAGGTGTATATATATAGAGGGCGTCTAAAATGACACCAGTTATACACTAATTCCTTATACCTGTTCGTTTGGTAAAACTGATGGTTCCTACCCCCCTAACCTCTCCCCTACACCCCCTCCACAAACCCACCCCTGCCCAACCCCCTGCCTCACTCCCTACCCTATACTGCCTGGCAGTATACTTGTTATACATATCCTTGTTATTCCTTGAAATGCCTCCTCCTCCTCCTCCTCCTCCTCTTCTTTTGGTTGTGTTAGTCATTCTCTCCTATTTTGTGTTCAATTTGAAAAATCAATAAAACATGTTATTGATGTGGATGCAGGTTGCCCAGAGAATAGGAGTTGACGTTTGACCGAACAATGGTTTACCCTCTCCTAGGATTTGAGGTTTTTCATGGTGCAAACTTTTTTTAAAATTGTTTTGTTCTGTGAATCATCGACCAGCTACAAATGGTATGGGGAGTGAAACTCACCCAAATGTAAATTGTTGATCCATATATGTAATAATAATAGCCTTTTGTGTTATCTTCTTCCCGTTCACAATAACTTCTCCCTTCTCCCCGGTCGTGTGTTATCTTCTCCATTCTCTTGGATCATGGATTTAGATTGTTGACAATTATGGGTGTTGGATGATATTATTTTCAGACGTTAAGTTTTGATACATGAAAAGTTAAGGATAACGACAAAGTGAAGTCATTAAGGCTCCATTAAGAAGTCATTTTCCCCATTTTCCTTTGTTTGATATTCTTAGAAAATAGAAGTCAATAGAAATTAGGCATTCAGTCAACGGAAAACTAGCCCTCAATTTCGGATATTGACTTCCGACAAATAAATCAGGAAGTCAATTTCCATTCTCCCCAGCTCTGCGTCACCTTCTTCTTCACAACGCCGCATGTGATCCCAACTCAACTCACTACCGACACCACCGGACACCTCACCTGCTGTTGCCGTCACCTGATCATACTATGACAAATTACCGCCAAAATCACCCCATGGAATTTCCCACCCCAACAAATTGCTAGTTGTTGGTCAGATTTTTTAGTTCCTTTGGTTCTGAGATTGTTGTTGGCGACTTGGTATGGTCCCAATTCAAACCAATTGAGAATGCCCCCAAAGTGTTGGATGAATTACCTGAGAGGATTCCCAAATCATTTACTCCCTCCGTCCGGGAATTTTTTTTCCGTGTTGACTTAGCACGCTTATTAAGGAGTAGTAAAAAAAATGCCAAATTTCCAAAAATGCATATACTTTAAACTTTTAAATCTCCTTTTCTTATTAAAAAAGTAGATTAGAGATAAAATAGAAGGATATTATTGAAATTTATCCTTAAAAAGTATACTAAAAACGGAAATGGAAAGAATATTTCCGGACAGACCAAACAAGAAAGTGGGAAGAATATACGGAGGGAGTATTAGATTTTGATTCGTTTTCGGAAATAAGCCAAACAGGAATACACTCTTTTTTAGGGGTGGGTAAAAAAATCGAACCAGCATGGTACCATACCGGACCGTAATATTACCGAACCCTTTGTAGTGTTTTTAAACAAAACCGATATCCAAGGGAAAGTACCGTGATACAAATATTTAAAACTGATTATCAGAAACTGAATTGTTCAAAGCTATATACGGTGTATCTAAAATAATTATTTGTCTACTTTATCTTACAATATATGGAGTACTTTGAATGGTATTATTCATTTTTAAAATTTTTCATTAATATTGTCGATGTTATATTTATTACTATTATTACCATTATTTTTTAGAGTTATTAATAATATTATATTTTACAAATTGAAAAAAAAATATTTTTAAAAATTGAACTCGTTATCTTTTATTTTTTATGTTTATGATCATTTAAAATTCAAAATCAATACTTCTATTTAACAAAGTTGTGCTTTTGCATACAAAATTATGCTTTTATTTACATATATTTTGAGTGATGCAGTTCATGTTTTTACACAATTTGAGCATGGTTATGGTATTGTACTGTTCCGTTTCAAAACGGAGTAGTACCGGATGGTTTTAGGGTCCATATCGTACTGATACCGAACTGTTTAAATAAGAGCGGTATGTGATAGGTTCTGGTGATATCAAAGACCGTCACAGACAGCGCCCACCCCTACTCGTTTTTAACTTTTAGCCAAACACTTGAAAAAGAAAATGAATTTCAGAAAATAACTAATTTTCCAGAGCTCATTTTCCAGAGATTGTTTTCCAGGTTTCAAAGTTTGCAGATTGTTGTTTCGCTTCGAAACATAGTGGAGCACAAGAACTTTCGCACTTATGCGAAACGTGCCAAATACTAGAAGACGAAATGCTCATATGTCGAGCAATGCTCATGGATGATACGGGCCGCTGAGGCTAAGAGTTCTTCTGTCTCGACCAGACTATACAAAAGAGAAGGATGACAAGCTCAAACAATACAACATGTAACATTTGTGTAGACGAGACTATACCAAAGAGAGGGATGACAAGCTCATTACAAGTGAGCTTATTACTAGAATTATTATATCAAAAATCATGAAGAATGCAGATTACAAAATCATATATACATAATTAAAGATGTGTATGATTTGTTCTGAGTAACAGTATCTTACAAAAAGGCTTGGTGTGCACGGTTGAATGCAATTCTATGGCTTTACGGGTTATGGGAGAGCTCTTATAGAAAGGTACCTCCACTACTTGGAGCAATAATTCATTCTAATCCTGGCACGGTTGTGGAACTACAAATGCAGTCCACTGTGTCTCAAGATAAGTTTGAGTTCATGTATGTGTTTTGCTCATTTAGGGCAACTATAGATGGATTTAATTCTTGCTTCCCAATGGTCTCTGTTGATGACACTAACACACCACGGTCGGCACTATTGCCACCACGATCTGCCGCTCTCATCCTTATTTGTTGCGGATTTCGCCTCCATCGCCCCCATTTGTTGATTTCAATTTCATAATTTACTGTCAACGTTGGGACTAGGATTGCCATTGTCACCACCATAGCGCCATGATGTCACTGCCAAGGGAAATTTTTTTAAAACAATGCCAACCAAAGCCACAATGTCAAAGATGATATTGCATACTAACAAACATGTCATTGCATAATGCCAAACATGTTATTGCATAATGCCAAATATTTCAATATAAAATGTCAAAAAGAAAGTGAAATGTCAAGATTTCCAACATACAATGTCAAGTTTCTTATCACTATCACCAAATTTTGCTAAAATTGGGAGCAAAATTTAAACACAACTAATAGAAAAACAATCAAACAAAGAATTAAAGAAAAACAATCAAATACAAAAATGAAAAGAAAAAACCAAACCAAAATCAGTGCCTAATGAAGATGCAATTTTTCGGTAAAAAAAAGATGAATGCAATTAGTTAGAAATATTTCTTACTTGTACGATGCACTCTCAATTATAGAGCATTTGAAAGCTAATTAAAAATCAAAATCATAGTCATCGCGACTGGGAGCAATCTGAGCTCTGATGGATATAGGCGGTGCGATAGATCTGCAAGGGGGGAGAGATAGATGCGGCGCTCCGCGGCGGATCTACAACGGATGCTTCATGACAGATCTGCAAAGGGAGAAGCTGATGTGGCAGCACTGCAAAGAGTGGGGCGATAGTGATGTACTGCACTTGGAATGAATTTGATGGAGGCAACACTTCAAAATGGTGAGGTCGTGAGGGTGGTGGCCAAAAATGAAAGAGAGGGAAGAGAGAGGCATGGTGGGGTGGCCGTGAGGAGATGAAGCAGAAAGATGAGATTAATTAGAGATTGAATACTATTTATGAGATTTTCTTTATTATTTAATTAATTACTCATATTTAGAAGAGTTTAAGTTTGAAATCTTATTTTGAGGATATGACATACTCCGGAGTATGTTTTACTCCTATTTAGAGGGTTTTCTTATTTTTGTTCAAATATGCTAGGGTACACCAAAAATGTACTCTAAAGTATCTCCACCACATAATTTAAATATTGGTTAAAAAAATTAATAAATAAATATAGAATCAATGGTTAACAATGACATGTATAAAAGGAGTACACCAATGGTGTACCCCTAGCATTAACTATTTTCGTTAGTTATTCGACAAAATAATATATTAATGTCTCTTCTTGTTTTGTAAAACTATTAATTTAGTTTTAAAATATATAATTTTTATTTTTTTATTTTACAGTTATAATCAAATAAATTGAATTAAAAATAATTTTAGTTAAATCTCATAAATCGAAGATCATTTTAAGGAGGGAGCACTAATTAGAAATGATGAAAATGATGAGCATTCATGGATAATACTACTGTCGTCTGTCTACACATTGATTTTCATGTATGCAATTAACACGATTTGTGAACCAAATTAAACATCTAAAAACTCAAAAAGAAAGACATTTAGATTCAGAACTTGAGATCATATCTACAACAAAAACTAGGCTTATCTTAAAAAACAGAACTGCAAATCCTTTATATATTATATTTGGGAGTTTAACTCCCAGAATTTTGACATTAGTCATGCTGACGAGAATATTTTTTACACTTCATAAGCCATGTCATCATATTGGACTTACTCAATATTTCAAACGGGTTGGATAATGATTCATTACTTTGGGCTTCTTTTATTTGGGCTACTTTGTGTGGAATTCATCCGCAAGTCTGAAGAAAGCGAGACATCAGCGGCACTTTCCTTCGATTGCACCTCCCTGCGATATTCATCTTCGAATGGCTCCACCGCGAGATTTCAGAGAATATGTGATTGGAATTAATCTCTTTCCTTTTTCACGGAGATTCCAACGATCGGTACCAAGAATAGGTAACTTTCCTTTTTCTTAAAAAATCATAATTATTTTTTGGATGATTGGCCTTCTTTCCTTCTTATGGTGATTAGCCTCTGCGAAATTTGTTCTTCTTTCTTATCATAATTATTTTGCTTTTACTTTTAAAACACAATTATACTGATCTGTATAAAAAACCAAAATTCTTCAATTGCCCATATTGAATAAATAAATGAAGAATGATAACTCTGCTGTTCTTAAAGTATAATGAGTCTGCTTTCCTTGAAGCTTCTATTTTCAGCACCATAAAAAATAATTTTTTTATTGAAGTACTGAAGAGTTGAGCCTGTCCTTATTTTCAGATTTATAGTCTGCTATTTTTTTAACATATTTTATGGTGTAGAGTTTAGTTTTTAGTCTCTTGAAGTTTCTTCAAATTCAGAGTATTGAAAAAACAAAACACACTATAGTATTCTAAGTATTAAAAAACAAAACACACTATAGTTTGTTTAGTTTTTTAGTGCCTATTCATGTTGAAGTTTCTCCAGTGCCTAAAACCATGAGACTAATTTTTTTTAATAGTAACTAAGAAGGAATTCTTATAATTTATGCAATAATAACTCTGTCGTTCTTAAAGTGTAATAAGTCTGCTGTCCTTGAATCTTCTATTTTCAGCACCATAAAAACATATTTTTATTAAAGTATTGACGACTTGAGTCTATCCTTATTTTTCAGACCTTAATTTCAGATTTATAGCCTCCTATTTTTGAACATATATATGGTGTGGAGTTT